ATTTTTATAATATTTTTAAATTTATATTTTATTTAAAATTAAAATTATAATTACTTTCTTAAAAACACATAAAATCGTATTATAAAATAAAAAATAAAATATTAAAATAAAGATATATATTTCTCGAGTCCAGATAATGTATAAATGATTTTGGGGTTGTCTACTTCAGTAAATTCATCAAATTTTCGCTGAATCGTTCGTCTCCTCTGCATTGTTCGATTTGTCCGAGATATAGAAAAAGGGCGACAATTGACTATCGAACAAAGGTCAGGTTCGAATCCTGCCCCTTGCAAGCTTTTTTGTTGTGGACTTCAGATTTGGCTACTCTTCTCAACTCTCTTCGACTTCTTATGTTCAATTATCTGTGATTCCATTACTATTGTGTTCAATTTATTGTGTAATATCTCTTTATATCCTGATGGCCACCAAGTGTTCGATAAAAGTTCCCCATGAGGGATTTTGGGGTTGGTTCTTCTGTTAGCTTAAATTAGCAATAGCGTTTGTTGTCAAATTGAATCCACTTTTAATAAGGTAAAGTAAATTCTTGATCCACTTCTAACCTGAAACATATGAACTCCAAAAACTCTGTTTATTGCATTCATCTAATTTGTTATTAAGGTAAAAGGTAAAGTTTTAAAAGATATTGATTCTTTGGAACCCAAAACATCTAGCATAAAAAATAGAGAACTACTAGATGATCTAGGGAGATATAGAAAACTAGCAGAGAACTCAAGTACATAATCATATTCCAGTTTTTATTTACTTTTGATGGTCAATGAACTGCTGAGATTTTGCTTGAAGAAGGCTGATGCCTGGTGGCACAGGGATGACAAATATGGACAAAGAGTGCTGTAGGTCTTCTGTTTAGATTTTGAGTTTGATCAAATGTGGTTGGGGGGTTGGGGGCTAGAAGGTGGAGATGGAGAAGAAGTGAAATAATCTTAAGGTGCTAGAACTTAAGGGTTTCTTGGAGAAGGTGGAGCTTTTGATAGAGCAAGCAGAGATTGTTAGTAATCCTATAGTGAAATCTGGTGCCAATTAAGGTACACTCTGATTATGGGTTGTATGTGTTTAAGAGTCTTACGTGTGCAAAGAGTTATGTTTTGTTATATGTGTAATATGTTTGCTTGGTATCCTTAGGAGGTAGTTTGGTAAAGTAAACTTCTACGGTATCGTATATGTTTTCGTCAATGATATGTATCTTCAAGATGAACAGATCAATTGAGGTTGTAATGTAGCAACTTAGCTTTGCCCATTTTATGGTAGAGCTCGATAATTTTCCATCTACAGTACTGTGATTGTGTTCCCTTTTATATGTTCTTGACCTGCTCTAGTTATTTATATAAAAAACTCACTACAGTGATTCTTGAAATGGGAACTAAAGGCAAAAGAATGGAGCAAAAAAGGGGTTCATCGGTTGAGTATGGAATATGAATTATGGCTATATTTTCTTTTTGTTCATTGGGGTTTGAATTGTTATGTAGGGTTAATGTTGCGTTCTGTCCCATTTATCAAAAGAAGTATCACTATCTGAAAGTTGATAATATGCGAAGAAAGTAGATGGTTATCCAAGTGATATTTTTGCAAGGTAATCTATTAATTTTAGAGCACTTGTCAAACAACTATATCTCATTCGGCATCGCATCATAGAGAAGGATACAATGGTAATTTTCTATCATTTAGAACATTCACCAAACAGTCATTTTTCATCATGTTTTATGCACTATATCAACCAGAGCCACTTAATTATTCTGACACTTCTGCACCAAATCATTCGGCATCTGCCAAACAACCCTAAGATGATAAAACATTAACCTCATCTGAATCGTTCCAAGCCCCTGAATCGCTCAATTTATTCCTTATCTTTCAGGATTTCAATATTGCTGCTGTTCTCGTCTACTGCTGTGACACTCGTCTCCTCACTACTGCTCCGTCTCTCGTCTCTCCTATCAATCTCAACCTGCAGGTATGTGAAACGTTGAATCTTTGATTGTACATTTGTACTATTGTGTTTGTTGATCCTGTTCTTAATTGCTTACTTCTGTTTGTTGATGGATCTTGGTTCCTCTCTAAAATTGTCTGTTAGAATAACTTTGCTTGGAATCCACTGAAAGTAGTTTATCACTTTCAGATTGAAGTATTTCGATGGTACACTCGAAATCTCAATCGGATAAAATTCAGTGATTGATAGAATTTCGAATCCAAAACGTTAAGAATCTGTGTACCACTCTCTCATCGAAAAATGACCAATTCGTATATTGAAAAAGTGCGAAAACTGTCAAAAATGACAGTTTTTTGCACCCTAAACCGGGTTTAAAATCTAAAATTCGGATTTCTGATGCATTTTCCACAAAACTGATGCACTCCGCCCCCCTTGGACCCCGCCACCGGGGGCAGCGCCCCCGGACCCCCGTCATTTAGGGGCTTCGCCCCTAAATCAAAATAAACTCAAACAAGTGTGCACTCCGCACCTTCCTTACTTGTTCGATATTTATCATGATTACATTGGTCGACAAATTAATCCCATTACACTTAAATGATATTAGTGATTTTAATCACTAACAATCCTCCCCCATTTAAGTATAATCTTGATTGACTTAAATCAAAGTCGTAACAAACAAACTGATGCATAAATGAAATATCATGACGATTGAATTTCACGTTAGTATACTACTCATTTCAAATATTCAAATATCGGGGTGTCACTAAGGATTGAACCCCTTCTATTCATAGTGAATACATGAAGATAATATACACAACAGTTTACATTCTCATGTTCTAACTTGACACTATATTTTACTAGCCCGTGTCCTATCCTTCAATAAGCATATCAAAGCTAAGTCCCAAACTTCTTGAAGCGGCTAAACTTCATGCTTATATAGGTAGTTCTCTTACTCTTGCATCTGCATATGCAATTTTTCAAAAGAACTATTAAGAAATATAATTTCAACCTCCTTTACTTGCAGTTCTGAACACATACCTTGGGATGACGCTAATAATGTGTTCCAATCTTTAGATATCAAGCTTTCCACATTGAATTCAGCATCTAACATTACATTAGATGGAAATTGGGTATCTTAATATGAAAGATTTCAGGTGGACTTTAAACCTATCCCCACAACCGCCTTGTGCACAAGATCTCTAGCTAACCCTTTGGTTAGATGATCGACTAAATTCAACTGAGTTCTCACAAACTCTACCGATATCACACCATTCATGATGAGCTCACGAATCATGCTATGTCTAACACCTAAATGTCTAGACTTCCCATTATACACTTGACTATAAGCCTTAGCCAAGGTAGCAGCACTATCACACCGGATAGAGATGGTAGATATCGGTTTGGGCCATAATGGAATTTCATATATCAAATTCCTTAGCCAGTCAGCTTCTTGACCAGCTGCAGCCAATGCCACAAATTCAGACTCCATTGTTGAGTTTGTAATACAAGTTTGTTTCTTGGAAGCCCAACAAATGGCACCTCCACCAAGAAGGAAAACCCAACCACTCGTAGAAGAGTGATCCTCCAAATTTGTAATCCAGCTGGCATCTGAATAACCTTCTATAACCGGAGGAAATCCACTATATGTCAAACCATAATCCATGGTTCCTTTCAAGTACTTGAATACTCGACTTAAAGCTTGCCAATGATGTGAACTAGGATTACTAGTATACCTACTAAGCTTTCCTACAACATATGCTATATCAGGCCTAGTGCTAATCATGGCATACATAAGACATCCTATAGCTCTTGAGTATTCAAGCTGAGACACTGGAACACCTTTATTAGGTAGAAGCTTAAGATTAGGATCTATTGGAGTGCTAACAGGAGAACAATTTCCAAAGTTAAATTTTTTCAATATCTTCTCAATATAATGAGATTGRGAAACTGAMATTCTATTGTTTYCTTGTTTGATTCTTAATCCAAGAATCACCTCAGCCTCCCCCAGGTCTTTCATATCAAAACTAGATGACAAGAACTTCTTGGTTTTATCAACTTGATCTTGATCAGTACCAAAGATCAACATATCATCTACATATAAACAAATTATAACTCCTTTACCAGAAGCATCAAATTTGCTATATACACACTTATCAGCTTGGTTTAGTGTAAAACCATTAGATAAGACCACATCATCAAACTTTTGATGCCATTGTTTTGGTGCTTGTTTCAGACCATACAATGACTTCTTCAACTTGCACACCTTGTTTTCATTTCCAGTCATCACAAACCCTTCAGGTTGTTTCATGTAAATTTCCTCATCCAATTCACCATTCAAGAATGCAGTTTTTACATCCATTTGATGAATTACAAGATTATGTATAGCTGCAAGAGCTAACAACAATCTAATAGTGGAAATCCTAGCAACAGGAGCATAAGTATCAAAGAAGTCTACCTTCTTTTTGCCTAAAACCTTGGAAAACCAACCTGGCTTTGTACTTATCTATGGTACCATCCACTTTCATCTTTCTTTTGAGGATCCATTTACATCCTAATGCTTTACAACCAGGATGCAAATCAGTTAAAACCCAGGTATTATTAATCATGATAGAATCAATCTCATCCTGGATTGCTTCTTTCCAGAAAACAACGTCCCTAGATGCCATGGCTTCACCAAAATTCTTTGGATCCTCCTCAATAATAAAACAATATTGATGTTGAGACACAGTCTCATCTCTTGTTCCTTCAACTAGATAAAGTTGAAAATCAGATCCAAAAGACTTAGCTTTTCTAGCTCTAGTGCTTTTCCTAGGTTCAGATGGTCCAGGTACAGAATCTGTACCATCACACACATTTTCAGCTTGAGTTGTAGTTTTGCCGGAATGAATCATGTCCCTTGGTCTAGGTATAGATGTAAATCTCTCTTCATCAAACATAGCATCTCTTGACTCTATAACAGTGTTAACTGACACAGAGTCATTAGATTCTATAACATATAATCTATATGCTTTGGAATGCTTAGCATACCCAATGAAGATACAATCTATACCTTTCTCACCTAAGTTTTTCCGTTTCAGTTCACTGAGCCTTACAATTGCTCTACAACCCCAAACTTTGAGATAACTCAAATTTGGTACCTTTTTATGCCAAATTTCATAAGGGGTGTTTTTACTCTTTTATTCGGAGTTCTATTCAATATATAACAGGCTGTCAACATAGCCTCACCCCAAAACCCATCACTTAGGCCTGAATACGACAACATGGAATTAACCATTTCCTTCAAGGTTCTATTCTTCCTTTCAGCCACACCATTTTGCTGTGGTGTGTAAGGAGCCGTGGTTTGATGTATTATACCAGTAGACTCAAAATAAACTGGATCATAATACTCACCACCTCTATCAGTACGCAAAACTTTTATCAACTCATTTATATGTAGCTCTACTTCTTGTTTATAAATTTTAAATTTATCAAGAGCTTCATCCTTTATGTGCACCAAATAAATATAACAATATCTAGATGCATCATCAATAAAAGTAATGACATACTTTTTATTTCCTAGTGAAGGTGTAGCATGAAAATCACATAAATCACTATGAATGAGTTCTAATACTTTGCTTTCTCTTTTAACATCCTTAAAAGGTTGTCTTGTAATCTTGGTTAACATGCAAGTTTTACACTTTTCATTATTCATGTCAAAAGCAGGTATTAAACTCATTTTAGACATATCCTTTAACCTTTTATAATGAACATGTCCTAGTCTAGCATGCCATAAAACAGATTTACTTAAGTTATTGCTAGTACTAGATGTCATCATGCAAATAGAGTTAACATAAGAAGGATAACATAGATTCAACCTAATCATACCATTACATACATAGCCAAATCTAACAAAAGTACCATGTCTTGACAAGATATACTTGTCACTTTCCAACACTTGTTTGTAGCCACACTTATTCAACACAATTTCAGACAAGAGGTTCTTTCGAATCCCCGGTACATACAAATGTACAATACATTGTCTAAACATAAACACTTTCCAGATGTGAACTTAAGTAAAACACGTCCTAATCCCTTGATTGATTCCGTTGCAATGTTTCCCATCTTCACGACAGATCCATCTTCAATTGGTTGACATTCTTTAAACCAACGAAGATCCTTGCAAACATGACTTGTTGCACCAGAATCAACCCACCAAGCAACATCATCATCCTGCACATAATATGCCTAAGAAATTACAGAAATATAATTATGAACATTATTTAGGTTGTGCACTAAATCACAATTCTGACCTTGTTGCTTTCTTGGATCCTTAGACCCACTTGGACCAGCTCCATCCTTGTTCACTTTACGTACACGACAATCCTTCTTGAAATGACCAGGTTTACCACACCTCCAACATACCAATTTAGGCTTTTTGTTGGAAAACTTGTCATCTCCACCTTTGTGTTTCCGTTTGTTGTCTTTAAACTTGTTGGAATACTTGGACCCATCCCCTTCCACAATGTTCACAAAAGAAGAACCAACTTGATTCTTACCTTTAGGATTATTGTCAAGTTCTTGAGTCCTCAAAGACTCTTCAATCCTAAAGTGACTTCCAAGCTGAACCAGAGTCAATTCTTCCTTCTTGTGTTTCAGAGTGTGTTTAAACTCTTTCCAGGAAGGAGGCAATTTGTCAATAATCATAGCAACCGAGATGGCTTCATCCATCTTCAGATTATGTTGAACAAATTGTCGCAGAATCCTTAACAATTCATGAAACTGTTCCATGACAGACCTGGTATCTACCATCTTGTAATTCATGAAATTACCGACCAGAAACTTCTTGCTAGAAGCATCTTCTGCCATATACTTGGATTCCAGATAATCCCATAGTTCCTTTGCAGATTCAACATTTTGATAAACATCAATAAAGAGTCGGACATACCGTTTAAGATGTGGCCACGACATATGTAATCATCGTTTTCCCATTTCGATCTCCTCCTTGACACTTCCAGAGTTTCATCTTCAACATATTCAGGCACAAGGGTACTCAGAACGTACACCACTTTCAGGGTAGTCAGGAGGAAGTGCATCTTCTTCTGCCATCTACGGAAATCTTGCCCTTCAAATTTCGACAATTTATCGAATTTGCTTGTCATGTCTTTCACAAATTCTTTGTCAGCCATTTTCACAGATTACTTCAATCTCTGTTAGAATAACTTTGCTTGGAATCCACTGAAAGTCGTTTATCACTTTCAGATTGAAGTATTTCGATGGTACACTCGAAATCTCAATCGGATAAAATTCAGTGATTGACAGAACTTCGAATCCAAAACGTTATGAATCTGTGTACCACTCTCTCATCGAAAAATGACCAATTTGCATATTGAAAAAGTGCAAAAACTGTCAAAAACGGCAGTTTTTTGCACCCTAAACCGGGTTTAAAATCTAAAATTCGGATTCCTGATGCATTTTCCACAAAACTGATGCACTCCGCCCCCTTGGACCCCGCCACCAGGGGCGCTGCCCCCGGACCACCGTCGTTTAGGGGCTTTGCCCCTAAATCAAAATAAACTCAAACAAGTATGCACTCCGCACCTTCCTTACTTGTTCGATATTTATCATGATTACATTGGTCGACAAATTAATCCCATTACACTTAAATGATATTAGTGATACTAATCACCAACATTTTCCCAAATGAGCAACGGTATAATAGTAATAGGAGGATTCTTGTGTAGCTTTTGTTCCTGACCATTCCTCCCCCAACTGGTCTTACTACTATGATTTATATGTTTAGACATCAGGATTTGGATCCATAGCGTAGACAACCTGCATGCATCTGATGATGCCTTTTGTGTTTGCTTTAACTTTGGTCCTAGAGGCACATTGATTGAGTTGTCATAATCTTTTTGTTTAGTGTAATGATTTCAGCTGGGTTTGCTTATAGATTTCTATAGAACTCGGGAAAACGATTGATTTTGTTATGTAATAATTCATCCTTTTCTACTTTGATCTTCTGTTAGTCACTTCTGTTTCTCATCTCATCATGAAATTTTATATATTTTGTAAACATGAATTGTACTATATTGTCACTTGTATAGTTGTATCAACTTATATAAGCACAACTACCAAAACTTGATTCTCGCTCTCTTCTGGTCCTTGGTTCTCTGCCCTCTCTTCTGCCCTTCTGGTCTCGGCCCTGTAACTCTGCCCTAGCTCTCTTCTGTCTCGGCCCTGTAAAGGAGCAAAGCATTAAGCCATTAAGCATCGTAAAGGAGCCGTTTCTGGACTCTGGAGACTGTAAGTTTGGAATCTAAACATCATAACTTGGTAAATTCCTGATTTCTTGATCCTAATTTTTTTTTATTTTTCATAGATCCTTGATGTTAAAAAGACAAATTTATGATGAACCCATGCTTAGATTAGGCTTATTTGATGAAGTTGATTTTGATTTGGTTTCAGAAGCTTCTACATGGTTTTAAGTGTTATCTTTAACCAAAATTCATTTGTCTTAAAATTTTGTGTAATTGTGTTTTGATTTAGGGCGAATTGTAACACCCTAGTTTCTTTAGTTAATAAATCTCAATATTTCAGCCTTAAATGCAAATATTTATGAATAATTCAAGTACTCCAGCAGCTGTTACATTTAGTGGAATATCTTAATTATAAGACTAAACAAGTTAGTGATGAGTTGTTAAGGCTAGAAGTGTGTTGGCAAGTCTAGTAAGCATGACTAAGCAA